ATAACATTTAGAAAGTTCTAATAGCCATTTAGAAAGTTCTAATAACATTCAGAAAGTTCTAATAGCCATTTAGAAAGTTCTAATAACATTTAGAAAGTTCTAATAACATTTAGAAAGTTCTAATAACATTTAGAAAGTTCTAATAACATTTAGAAAGTTCTAATAACATTTAGAAAGTTCTAATAACATTTAGAAAGTTCTAATAACATTTAGAAAGTTCTAATAACATTTAGAAAGTTCTAATAACCATTTAGAAAGTTCTAATAACATTTAGAAAGTTCTAATAGCCATTTAGAAAGTTCCAATAGCCATTTAGAAAGTTCTAATAGCCATTTAGAAAGTTCTAATAGCCATTTAGAAAGTTCTAATAGCCATTTAGAAAGTTCTAATAACATTTAGAAAGTTCTAATAGCCATTTAGAAAGTTCTAATAACATTTAGAAAGTTCTAATAGCCATTTAGAAAGCTCTAATAGCCATTTTAAAAGTTCGAATAACATTTAGAAAGTTCTAATAGCCATTTAGAAAGTTCTAATAGCCATTTAGAAAGTTCTAATAGCCATTTAGAAAGTTCTAATAGCCATTTAGAATGTTCTAATAGCCATTTAGAAAGTTCTAATAGCCATTTAGAAAGTTCTAATAGCCATTTTAAAAGTTCTAATAGCCATTTAGAAAGTTCTAATAGCCATTTTAAAAGTTCTAATAGCCATTTAGAAATTTCTAATAGCCATTTAGAAAGTTCTCCCTGCCACTGTTATGTTCTATGTTGCCTTATATGTGGTGTCCTCGTTAACAGTGTGTGTACACTCACCTATTTGTGGTTGCAGGGGTCGATACATAGCTCCTGGCCCCGCCTCTTCACTGATCACTATTGGGTCCTCTCCCCCCCTGTTTCATGAACTTTATCATACCTCGTCTTAAAACTATGTATGGTTCCTGCCTCCACTACATCGCTTGCCAGAATATTCCACTTCCTGACAACTCTATGATTAAAGAAATACTTCCTAACATCTCTTTTTGCGCCTCAGGAGATGTGCTCGGTATGATGCTTACCCCGAGATCCTTTTCCTTAAGTAAGTTTTGCAGCCTCTGACCTCTTAGGTTGTACTCCGTCTGCGGTCTTCTTTGTCCTTCCCCAAGTCCATAACTTTGCACTTGCTGGTGTTAAGTTCAGCAGCTATTTGTGGGACCAGGCTTACAGCCTGTCCAGTTCTCCTTGTAGGTTTACCTAATCATCTTCGGTTTATATTCTCATCATTAGTTTCACATCGTCTGCGAAGAGGGACACATCTGGCTATCCCTTCCGTCATATCATTCACATATACAAGAAACCGAACCGGACCTAGGACTGACCCCTGTGAAACTCCACTCGACACATGCACCCACTGTGTAGTGGCAGGTGTGGTGGGCCGGCATGGGGTGAGGTATCAGAATGATGACCAGGCCCACAACACCTGGTCACAACGCCCACAACACCTGGTCACAACACCCACAACACCTGGTCACAACACCCACAACACCTGGTCACAACACCCACAACACCTGGTCACAACACCCACAACACCTGGTCACAACGCCCACAACACCTGGTCACAACACCACAACACCTGGTCACAACACCCACAACACCTGGTCACAACACCCACAACACCTGGTCACAACACCCACAACACCTGGTCACCACGCCCACAACACCTGGTCACCACGCCCACAACACCTGG